CAAGAATATGTATGTTAAAATAATCAGTTTAACATTGATTTGCTGATTAACTTTTTACCTAATCTATTCATTATTTTTTAGATTTCACGTGATTTATTTGATACCAGGATTGGCCAGTTTAATACGGCAATAAAAGGTTGTGCAGTAAGCAAGAGCTTTTATGTCTCTCTCTATGTCTTTACAACATTATTAGCATTAGTTGTAGGAATACCAGTAACAATCTCAAGTGAATATAAGTATTATGGATGGTATATTTTCTTTATGGCTTCAATGAGTGCATATTGTATTGTACTTTGTATTCATTTAGTAGTTAGCATTGAAAACCAGAAAACTGCAAGTATTTTATTTTTTTTCTCATTTATATTAATATTTTAAAATAATAAAAATTTTTTTGTATTGTTTATAGAAAATGAAGGAGGTTGAAAAGGTGATGGAACGAGTAAACGGTTTTGATAACATCAATCATATCTTTTGGAAACTAGAATTTACCGATAGTTATGTCATGGAAGGGTATAGAAAAAAGTATTATGTAAGTTTTACTCTTTATATAAAAGAAGCAATGAAAGTATTTGTAAATAAGCAAATTTTTGGCTGTAAAAGTGTAAAATTCTGACATCATTAGTATTTTTATCATAGTTTGTAATTCTTGAGTTAAGCTCGCCGGCAATAACTCAACAAGTGCCAGTTAATACGGTATTATCACCTCCAGCATATACAGCACCTACAGCACCAACACATACAACAATCATACCTATAGAATCAACTTCTCCAACTTCTTCAGCACCAACTTCTATAGTTCCACAACAGCAAATTATTTTAATAACAGGAAATACATCTACATTACCATTAAGCGATGGTGCACAAACTACCCAAATAATTTCAATAGACCCTTCACAATTAAACCAAATATTAGCTATTACTCAACAACAGCAACACCAGGATAATTTAACAAATCCACCTACACCTCCACCAAAAGATTAACTTTATATATGTTACATGTCATTTTTAATCTCTAACGCTCGTCCATAATATAAGTAATTAAATAAATGTTAGAAATGTATGTTAATATTTATTTATTAATAAGTTAATTTGATTATTAATCCGTAAACCAGGTTAACTAGTTATTATCAGACACGTCCTATGTGATCACTGAATGATTTCCTTAATTTTTATCTGTTATCCGGCAAACTCTTATGATCATAAATAAATTTCTGCACGTTATTTTTTTCATGTGATACGATGTGATCGTGTTTATTCAAATTAAAACTCAGTCAACCACTCCCTACCTATCATGATAAATTGCCGGTGTTACTATCGAAAATTGGGAGAGCGTCAGCAATGGCCGAGTTTAGTACAGCGATAGTGAACGAAAGGAATATCGGATAGAATATAGCGATAAGATAGGACGTGAAAGGTACAACGATAGGTGAGCAGTTGTAGTTGTAATAATTATATGATATAATAAAGAAATAGATAATTAAATAAATAAGATCGTTAAGCTGTCTTAACGATAGGGATATCGGGTTTTACAATAACAAGACTGTGAAGATGTATTCACGATGATTCAATAATTCAATAACAGACAAATACGAAATACGATATAAATATGATTCACTCGAAAACCTTTATTTATAAAGGAGGAATACTTTAGATCTACCTCTAAGTCCAACCTACAAGCAAAACCTATCGATAAGCAAAGCGTACATGAGGTGTTTATATACATTAAGAATGCTCCGCAGTTAAGACAAAAGACATGAATGAATTTCCTTTAATGTGGGGGGGGGGGGGGGAATCTATCTAAGGCGCAATATTATTGAAGTCATTAATGAAGCTTGCGCAGTTTCAATGATCAATGATATGATCAAAGTCTCGACTAGCTAAACAATTCTTAACGCCTTTCCCTACCAATTATCATATACCATAAATGGAAGCAACAGAAATTAGACTATCGGATGCTAAAATAGGAATAGCGTGAATC